TCGACTGAATGGTACCTCACTTGCCCTAGAGGTAGATCGATAGAGGTGTCACTAACGTCAATGACGTCGTAGTACATCGGTATTGACAAAAATGCTCCTATAACGCGACTACAGAAATACATCACCCGATCAAAACCGAAATTGTCGATGTATGCAAGATTCAGTAGATAATTATTCCACTTGCGTGCACACGGCAAATTTGAGAACTAAAGTGAATCAAGGAAACCCGAGGAAAAAGGAAAGGAGAAACAGAAAGAGGAGGATAAAGGAAACAAAAGAGAGAAAAATAAGAAACTGGTGGTGATAAAAGTTATATATTTGTGTGATTTAAAAAGTACCTTGAAATGAACTTAACACCATATCAAAGAGTGCAATTAACACAATCCATTCGAAAATTTTGAAGAAAAAATATAAACAGTTTTTGAGAAAATGGCGTTCGAGCTATTCTGAAATTGCGAAATTTTGACCTAGTTTTCACAGAAAATGGTTGGATTTTCGAGAAACTTTATGAGACATTAGTAAAAGCACATATACTCACAAATAAAATACTTTGAATAAATTGCTGCTAATGTAACGACTGTATGTAATTAACGTAAACCAAAATGTAATTAACGACGTGAGAGACAAGTCAAAAAAATACATTTTTGTTATTTTTGAAAAAACAAATGAATGAAGAAATATGGTGTTTTTGTCAACTTATGGACTACATTTTCCACAATACCTACCAAACGTCTAAAAAAATGTAGAGCGGTTTTTGAGAAAATCTTGTTTTAGTATTTTTTTAATTGCATAAATTACATGCAAGTGCACAAAAACAACTAAATTTTTTTAATGTGCACGACCTTAATGAAAAAGCAAATTATGGACAACAAATTTTAATTGTAGAAAAATCTTTAATTTTTTAGTTGTATTTTGAAGTTTTATTTTTGTAAAATTTTCGAAAAATCGGAGATGTCAACGAAAATAAGACATGCATCATTTTATTCGAAGTATTTTGCCCCATTCAACATCAAAATTTATTAAAAAGATTTGAAGTCATTTTTTGAACATGTGGAAAATTTTTCAATGTGTGTGAAAAGTTAAGAAAATTTATAGTAATTTCGTAATTAGAATCGAAAATAACGTAAAAACAACTGGTTTTTCCAAAAAAAATGTACATGACCTCTTTTTAAAGAGCTAACAATTAAAGAGCTTTGTACAACAGACTCGATCTGAGACAAATAAATAAATATATATATAATATATATATATATATATATATATATATATATATATATATATATATATATCCAATTTTGAAGTTTTAAATTTTTTTTGCTAATTTTCGAAAATTCAGGAATATCAACGCAAATGAAACCGGCACTATTCTTTTAAACATCCTTTGTGCTTTTCAACAACAAAATTTAATTAAAAAATTTGGAGCATTTTTTTAAGAGTAAGAGCGACAAAGTACAAAAGAAGGAAAAGGAAAATTGCAAGGGAAGCAAGAAGGGAAAAAAAGGGAAGCAAAAAACAGAGTGCAAAGAAGGAAAAGGAAATGAGACAAGGAAAGGAAAGAGGAGAAAAGAGAACAAAAGTAAATTGTACAGGAAAGAGGAAAAATGAAACAGACGAACAGAAAATAGAAAAGCCAAATAATTAGTAGTCAAACATAAGAAGCATTAGAAGGGATGAAAAGAAGTAAACAGGTAATGAAACTAATAAGAAGAGACGGAAGAAGATAAATTAAAATTGAAGAGACAGAATTGAAGAGACAAAAAGACAAGGATGACGATGAAAATGAAGATAATGAGGAAGAGGTTGAGGAAGATGAAATGGAAGATGATGGAGAAGATGGTGATAAAGAAGATCAAGAAAGAGATGATCTGATAATGAAGAAGAAATTGATGGTGGGATGAATATAACATTGAATATAACAATTAAGAAAAAAATTAAATAGATGAAGATAAAAGAAGATGATGATAATTGAATTGAATTGAATTTGCCTTATTTTACGTGGCGAGACTCGGGCCATGAGGCCCGCTCTACCGTCTGACCACGCAAATTTCGCTACGCTCCTTTCACCAACTAGGAGAGAAAGGAGGTATTTCTTGGGCGAGAAACAGGCGATTTGAATTTAGCTCAGAGGCGTCATTTAGGCTTCAGGATCTTTTACATGGAAGTAAATCTACTAACATGGGACAGCCGGTTTTTCTTCCCCTCCGAAGGAAGGCGTACGAAGGATTTTTTCGCCCTTAAAAATCCACGCCTTCGATCGGATTGGAGCCCGCGAACTTGGGTACAACACTTCGGTACGCTAACCGTTACACCATCGCCGCCGCTAAGGGTGCGAAGAAGAAGAAGAAGAAGAGGAAGATGATGATGATGAGGTTGGAGGAGGAGAAGGGGGTACCTCGAAGGCGGCGGGCAGGTCGCCGAGGCGCGGCGCCATCTCCGCGACCACGCGAGCGGCCGGGAAGCGGCCGAGGGGCAGGCCGGGGCCGGCGCCCAGGCGCAGCACGGGACCCTCTGCGTGGCCGTCCGCCTCCTCGCCCTCGCCCTCGTCCTCGTCCTCGTCCACCGCCGCCGCGGCGCCCGGCAGCGCCTGCGCGGAGCGCCCCAGCACGCGCCACGGGAGAGAAACGCGCACGCAGGCGCAGTTTCCATTCATGGATGGATTGATACATTGATTTGTGAGTCTGGGAGCGCCACCTTCTAAGGTCACTCGGCACGGAAGTGTGTTAGTGCATTTGTATCGCGGGAGGAGGCGGGGGTCGCTGGCTGGCGAGATCCGGCGTCGACCAACGCCTAATTGCGAGAATTTTCAGGAATTTCAGCCGAGTCAGGAATTTCCTACCTGCAGGGTACCACCCCAACCTGGACAAGCTGTAAGCTCCCGATTGGTTTCCCGATGTGTGTGGTAGTGTAGTGCATGTAAGTGTGTGTGTAGGTGAGTGGTGAGGATAGGATAAGGAAGGGAAAGGAAAGACGGCGCGCGGTCCCTTTTGTTAGGGTTCTGCTCTGGCATTCGCCTCCTTTTGATCGGAGAAATCCCAGAAAACTACCGACCAGACCAGCTGGCCGCTGGGATTTTCCGGCAGATAGAGTCTGATATCGGCCTAGCTCTCTAGCTAGTGTCGTAAACCCTGCCGGTGTTGGGATTAAGCATAAAAACTTCCTGGTGCTAGATACTGTAGTGACATTAGCTGATACCCTGAACCAACTAAGTCAGGTTTTAACCACAGGCACGTTGCTGGATCGGTATTTTCCGTTGTTTCACCAGTTAATACTACGCGAGGGGATAGGCTTCCGCGTTCGGAGTCAGTATCTATTTTGCTGACCGGGAGACGGCGCTTCCTAGTCATAGATCCCAACGTTCTGGACGTCGTGCTTCGGCCCTCGTCGAGGCAAAATGTAAAGCAAAACTGAGGATGAATGTGGAGTTTGGCGGAAGGGTTTTAGAAAGGTGGCAGCACGACGGACGAAGTGTCGGCATCTCTGCCAAGGAGCAGCGTATCCCGGACAGCCGAGTAGATGGAACCAGGCGATCGTCCAAGCAAACAATAGTGCACCAACGTACAAGTCGCGGACCGCGCGTTCTTCCCGTCCCTTGATTCGCTCGTCACTCGGCGTTGAGCACATGTTTCGACGGAGGCGGTACCCCACTGCAACAGATGCAAAGGGGGAAAAGTCCCCAAGCAGGCGCCACATCTCACGATATAAGGGCTGAGGATCACCGACACTTTCCGAGATAAAGCATGCACTATACTTGCGAAACTGATATAACCCGGAAAAACTAAATATTAATTCACTCACGCAATCGTTGAAAATCACTCAAGTTAGAATTCCATTCTACTTTCAGAATATATTCTGCACTCCTTGGTGTACCAGAAGGTCGAGGCCTAGTGCGTGAAGCACGATACTCTGTGCTCAATCCGCATTCGCCTCAGAGAACAAGAAGCCTCCGCTCAGAGTCCTAAGCCAGAACTGGACTGCCCTTGAGGTCCACAAAATCCTAATCCTGTTCGCTGTTCCTGTTCAGTTTAGCTCAGAGGCTGGATTCCGTAACTCCTCAGAGCGAGTCTATGAGAGTTACGTTACTCAGAGTTAAAGAGTCTCTACGGTGGATGATTTTCATCACTAGCTTTATATCTAGATCGAATTCAGCGGCTATCTGCAGTAGAATTCTAGCGCCCGGCTGTTTTGATCGAAAGTTTCCAATCAAAACAGGCGAATGCCGGAGCAGATCCCTAAAACTGGGGCACGGACCACTCACCATCATTCCTTCCTCTTCCTCATCCTAAATTCGCCCCTTTAACTCATATCCACTTCATCCCCAACATGTCGAGAGATCAGTTGGGAGCTTAGCGCTGGATTGGACACGAAGCAGTAGGGAAGGAATCACCCTTATCTCCCTAGATAAAATATTCAATATTCTACCAGAACTAATGGCCATTCTAATTAACGAAAATATCATTCCTCAATGTTTTGCACATTCTTCTATTAATATCATAAGACGTTAATAAGGATTGGATTATATAAATCCTAAGTTGTTTGCAATTGTATCCAGCCTTCAACTCTAGAGAAGTTGAACTGTCGATAATCCGATGTTACGCTTACCAACATATTTCGAAAATCGTAAAAATTCATTGCGGGTAACTAGTGCATAATTAATCCCGTTTTATATATTTACGAAGAGTAAAGGAGTTTTTCCAACTTTAAAAACATATTTTCAGATAACAGATACAAGTTTGTTTGAGAAATTGTAACAATATTTAGTTATTCATTGTCATCACAATAACGCGTGTCATATTCATTAATTACATTGCTGTTGTTCAATTATGTTGCTATTGTATTATTAGTTAGGTATAATAAATTGTTAGTACCTCTTAAAATTTTTATTTTAGAATGCTTGCAAGGGCTTGTTTCATCTGTTTACTTTTATTTATACAATGCCAAAAATCCGCAGCATATTAATAACATTCAGAAGAAGAAGATATTGAAAGAGTTTCCTCCCTCCCTCAACTGAGAAACCACCCCTGCCAAATAAGCTCAGCGGTAAGCAGTATACTCACAGTGGCCGCGCTCTCATCGCTGCTGCTGGAATCTGCGTGGGTGGCTGGCACCAGCTTTTCCTCCTCCACCCCCACCCTACCCGCTCTGCCCGCCGCTTTGTCCCCCTCCGCCTCGACGGCGACGCCTTTCGATTCATCCGCCAGCAACGCCACGTTGGGCGCCAGTCTACTGTCGGACACGTCCATCTCTGCAGTGGAAGTAGTCGGCGGCCCTCGGGCGGCGATCGGCTCGCCTTCGGGCGCTCTTGTCTGTGGTTCGGGCGCCGTCGCTGGCGCGCCCACCACCTCCTGGTCGGTCGACGTCACCGGTTCCTCTGGCTCGGTGGTCTCGCAGCCCTCCGGTTTCTCTTCTGCCTCTTCTTCGCCTGCGGTGAGCTTACCAGCCACTTTTGTTCCGGCTTCTTGCACGTAATGCTCTTGCAGCTCACCGTCTGCTCGGCCTCTTTTCGCCGGATCCACTTCTCCCTCGGGTTCTTTATCTACTTTGGCGACAGACTGCTCCACCTTGACGTCGCCTCCTTCAACAGGGCGCACGTACTTCTTGTCGGCCCCTCGCTGTTTCTCGCCAATCGGTTTACCTTCCGCGCCATCAGCTTTGTTGACTTTTTCTTTTGGCCTTTCATCCAATGGCTTCGAAGCAGCTGTGTTGTCTTCCGTTTCAGCGTGCAACTGCGTCTTCGACGAGGACTGCTTCAAAGCGATGCTTTCAGCCTTCTTGTCCAGTTTCTGCCTCTTGACCGCCTGGGGCTCCAGTGGTTCCCGGTGCTCTTTCTTGGCTTTGCGCAGTTTGTGCTCCACCTTGGTCAAGGCCTTCTTGGCCTGGGACACCTTTGCCTTGGCCTCGGAGAAGGTTGCGCGGAGCAGACTTTCGGTGGGCGCCGGGTCGTTGCTCGTCCCAGCCGCCTTCTCCCCGTTGTCCTTCAACCTTCCCGCGGTCTCTTCCAGCGCGGCCGTGTCCGACGTCGTCTTCTGGGAAATGTCGTCGTCGTCTTCGTCTTCGCTGGCTTGAGCCGTGGAGTCGCCGCTCTCCTCAGAGAGTCCGGCCCCGCTGGCCAAGTCCGCGGCCTTCCACCGCTTTAGCTTGGATCTGGCGACATTCCTCGCTTCCTTGGATTCCTCCACTCGGTCTCTAGCGGCGGCCAGTTTCGTCTCAAGGTCCGCGATCATGCCGTCCCAGTCGAAACGCTTCTCTTCAGGGGACCCAGGCGCAGAGTCGGGCTCAAGGTCTTCGTCGGAATCGTCGCGCCCCTCGCGAGCTTGTTGCCTGGCGATGGCATCTCTCTCCATCTCGTCGGCCGCTTGGTCCAAGATGGAGGCCTGTTGCTCCAGGTGGATGGCCTTCTTCTCGAGGTCTTCTGCGTGCTGGACCAGTTCGGCGACTTCGCGTTCCCTTTCCTCCAAACGCGATACTTCTCGCATCTTCCGTTCTGATTCCTCAGTTACTTCCGCTTCTATTTCGTGTTCGTTCTTCTTTTCCATCTTTTGGACGTCTGCATCGTAATCCTGTACGTCGCTGCCTTCCGTCTTCGGAGCGTCTCCCACTTGTTCTTTCTCCACGATCTCGTGCACCGCTTTCCCTTCCGGAGCTTCGATCTCACCATCGTCCCTTGCCCTCCCGTCTTTGGCGGCATCGGCCATCTTGCCTTCTGCCTCCACCGGCGGGAACACCGCCATCTTGTTTTCCGCCTCCACCGAAGGCACGTCCCCGGCGCTGGGGTCGATGTCACAGTGTTCCGGGTTGGCAGCGCTCAGCGAGCGTTTGGTGTCCCCAATCTTGAGGTCAGCTCGGTTTTCTTCTCCGCATCCGACATTCGTTGCCTCTGCCTCCTTCGAGGGGGCCTCTGCTTCTGGGGCCTTTGGCTCCTCCGTCGGGTCGCCCATGGCAGCGTGCTCTCCCTGCTGCAGATCGGCGCTGTCCATGACCAGCGGTTTCTCTTCGCAGTCTTTCGCCTGAGGGTGTGCGACCAGTGACATTGATTCTTCGTAGAAAAACTTGTTCCTGCAAAACAAATGAGTTAACATAAATGAAATTGTTTTACTATAGTAATTATAATGTATTTTATAAGACGATAGATATTCCTTATCAACGATGAGAAAGTATTAATGAATGGCGAAAGGAGCAAATGAGTTACAATATTTCTCTTGGTCTACGCCTTCTCGTCCAAAAATGATTACTGTGTTATTATGATATGAAATCAAGTGTATCATTCAATATTTATTTATGACAACCTTAGAATCAATTTTTATTTCATTTTATACTACACCACTCATTGAATTTGTTTCATTCGTCAGTAACGAATTCCGTTAGATTTATTGATTTGGCTTTCTGAAGCATTGAAAAAATGTGGCGTAACCGTACTTAAAACATGTTCCTAGGTCTTATTTAAATCGTTTGTGTCGTGTATAACATGTTTATCTGATTAATTAAAAAAATATTTGCTGTTATGTTCGAAATAATTTTAAATTTGTCTAATCTTGGCTAAAAAGTGTAATTATGAATCCTTCAGAGCATGTGTTTTATTATAACGTTCATAATAACACGCGAATGGGAGTGATATTCATCGGTAAGCGCATCGTCGTAAAGTAAATTCGTCTGTATCGTTTTCGGTATTATTTAATTTATTTTTATTCTATTTTACTATTAAAAGCAAAATAAACGTGTTAGGCTACTTTCGGACAATAGTTTGCTGTTTCGCCACCAAGAGCGCGTGCGCATTCATAAATAGACTGAGAAAAAATTTAAAAAAATAACTGAAAAATTAGGACCTACTCACATGAGATTACCAATTCAGTAGCTTTCGCATCCGAATATTTTTTCGAAGGTTTCCTAGAAAATGAAAATTTGTTACACGGATTCAGAGGAATTGTCGCAAAATAAATGCTAGGAGAAGAAGAATAGACAATCGAATGTTTCCTACATACTATATATAGCAAGTGAATATCGAAGAGAACAAACTACTTTTCAGTACTTTAAATATTATTCTGTAATTAATTACTCGGCGTGTGTTGATATATTTGAATGCGTGCTTGTATGTTTGTGTGCGTGCGCGAGACTATTTTTGCGAGGTTGTATGTGTGTGTGTGTGTGTGTTTGTGAGTGTTCTTGCGACCTCTTTGCCGTTGCTTGCGGAGCGGATTGATATCGGATCACTCACCGTACGCCTATTTCCGCGGTGACCTCCCAGCGGAAATTTATCGGAAATACAGCGCGTCCTAGCGCACACACGGCTTCCCACTCACTTTCCCTCCCCCCCTCTCTCTCTCTCTCTCTCTCTCTCTTACAATCACACACACACACACACATCTGGAAATGCTCCCTTCCGGAGCGCGTTTTCTGCATGGCGGCGTACTTGTATATTTCTGGTCGGCGAAATGCTCTCACATCGACGGTCGAGTTTTCGCACGCGCGAATGTACTCGTATCTCCCGTGGGATGCGATTGGATGGCGTTGGAGAAGAACGTGTGCCCAATTGGAGAAGTGGTATTGGTTGTGCTGGATCGATTGGCGTTTTCTACTAAGATCATTAGTCCCCTTAGTGCAGAGAATATTTTATCACTGCAGGTAAGGCTATTCGTCCCCAGCTGGATAGTGGGATACGCCGACGAACACGTCGACTAGCGATGTATTTTCCCCTTTAGGTATCTCCCACTGCGGCACCCGCCCAGCCGGGACAAGGTCTAAGATGTCGACGGCTTGACCGACATGTGTGATATCGTGGTGCATATAAGAATGGAGGGGTAATGGAACGGAATTGAAAAACGAAGGGAACCCGTGTCCGGTATGTTATGTTACTGCTCCAGCATTCTCCATTCAAAAAAACGCGGAAAACTACTGATCAGAGCTGCCTTCCACTATAATTTTCGTCAACACAACGGCTATGTAACTAGAAAATCTTCCACCCACGGATCTCGAACCTCAGGACCTGTCAGTCGAGTTGTTCCAATGACTGCGGCAAGGTTGCCTCTGACTAAACCCAGTTGGGAGTTGTGATTAATTAGTTTACTTCGTTGCTGGATAGTCCTGAAGTTCGATTATGATTTACGGTTATTAACATTTATCTATGAGCGGACCGGGCACTGCCTTGCTTTTCAAAGTATTAAACAAACGTTAGTATTAAATAATATTGACTAAAGATCCAAGTCAATATATCCAATGAAGATTAACTACATATAAACTACTCTATAACTACGCATTACCTACATTTTGCTATATTACATCAAGCTTTAAAAATTAAATATTGGAATAATGTTTTGAACCGTCAGCACTTTGTTAAGACTTATTTTGTACACCGCACTTCCAACAGGGAACTGGGAACGCCGCAGATTAACTTTGCAAAAACAACGGCCCTACATGTCCCTTTTAATTCAAACCACACTTTAAGTACTCCCGATACTAATAAGTACAAAGAAGTGAACATTTCACCGAAAAAAGTCTAGTAGGTTTTGCGTCCATATGCGACAGTCACACGCACATTCCCGTTTTACTTTCTAGTATATGTAGGTGTTCGAAGTAATATACGTAGTATAGAGAAAGTTACGCAATTACTTTCTCGCGCTTAAGAAGGAAATTCTTAAGAAGAGAACGTTATGTAATGTTGCGCGAATTTTGTAGAAAAACTCCTCTTACAGAGCCCTGGTCACGAAAAAGTAGATAAATCCACGTGCTAAATATAGCACAAACTTCCTCTAACACGTGGTGTAGCCAGAATCCCTGCTTTGTGGATCTTCGATACCTAAAAGTCAATTGATGACAAAACTCGTATGTCCATCCGTCAGTGTGTGAACAAAGGCTAAACAGTTCAGCCGATTTCTCCAAAATTAATATTCCGTGATCGATCTGTCTGATGTCGCGCCCCTTCGAATTTCAAACCGATATTTTAATTTGTAGGGGTACTTTGCATAAAGCCCCTGGGACATTTCCAAATTTTCAAAATAATGTCTCCATCGATTTTGATTACAGCGAGTTGTTGGATAGTCTGACGTATGTTTAAGAGAATGGCGTGAATCTCTCTCACGTTGGTTGAAAAACTGAGTTTTGAAAACTTCGGCGTCTTCCTGGAACAAAAATATTAAAGATAAAATGTTTTTCTCTGAATAAAATCTGTTCCTCAGAGATAGATTTTGAAATTAGATCATTCAAATTTTGAGTATTTTTCGCTTATAATATAGGCGATTTTTAATTTTTGTTTAAACATTTTTTTCTCAAAAAACGGCTCCATAATTGGATACTTGTGGATGCTACGTAAGTTAGAATTTGTGTATTATTTCATAATTCATTTTATTATTACTATTATTGTTATTTATTATATGTATATTATATTTATGTTATTTCAATTTAAATTGCATCCTTTAATTGTGTTAAATGCGAAAACGAATAGATGAGCGGTCATTGTTGGTTATTGTAACCCATTGTTGTTACGCCGCAGAAATACTTTACTAATGGCGAGAAAGTACGGGCTGTTTTAACACCACTGGTTTATAGATAGATATAGATTCATTATTTTCTCTCTTTAGCCGATACGACTTCAGCTTTTTCGGTTTAAAGTGATAGGAATCAATATTTGTACGCCTCAATACCAACGATTAACTTCAACGTAAAAGTTTATTTGACGAGGTTTAATAGGTTTCTCACATCTATTTGCCTCCAACACTTCAATTGTGACCAATCAGAAATATGAAGATTACTACTACAAGGAAGATTAAATAGTTGACAATATCATTGTCTTTAACGTCATTAACGTTGAAGAAACGGCTAGAAGTGACGATTATCCTGACGTCTACGGAAGTGAAAGTTTATTCCACACTTTGCGGCAGAGAATATTCACTGCAAGTGTTGGTTCGCCCATTGAAGCTGTGAGGTAGATAGAGCCTCCCTCCGATAGAAACATCCCCAGTGGAATAGAAACAACTTTCGGCTGTGGTGGCTCAACTGATGTCACTGTACTACCTCTGTTTGGAGGATAATTCTAGCGGCCAACTGCTCTGTTCGAAAGTTTTCCTATCAACATCAGGCGAAATGCGACAGCGGAATCTTTACATCTTCTTCCTTGTCCTACACTCAACCCTTACTTACACACACATTCACATGCACTTCACAACCACCCATTTCAGGAGCTTAGAGCTTGTTCAGGCTGGGGGGTGCCCCGCTGGGAGATACCTCGTAGGGGATATCCTCGCTAGCCGACGGTAGGACAGCACCGGATCTCAGCATCGAACGGGGGAAAATAACTGCCACCTCCCGTGCGGAAACATGTACTACATTTTCGGAAATAATGATTAGACGACTTACCCGGAATCACTAATCAATCAATCAATCAAAATCAAAACTAGTCGTATCACAATAGCATGTACTTTTTCGCAATATTGTTAATGGCTATGTAATATTAGAATATGACAATTTCTGTCTTACACTTCAACAACTATCTGAACAATTCTTAATCGAAGTATGAAAAATACATATATTTTTACTTTCTCGCACACCTCCGTATACACAGAGTATTATACCTAGTATACAGAAAGTTATGTAATCCTGCGAAAAATAGATTCCGAGATTTCAACAGAAATACACGTTCTGGAGTCCCCTTATACCGAAAAAGCTGTTTTTTGTTTGTTTTTCCTACTAAATTGTCAGAAACTGAGACAAGTAAAACACTTTTCCATTCTAAAATGTCTAAATCTTACACAATAATTTTTACCGCGGTTATGTGAATGCTACAATAAGAAGCATTATATACTGAGAAAAATGATCTAAAAAAAATACCCCACTTTTTATAATTAATGAGATAAATCTCAAAACCTGCATTTTTACGTTTAAAGAGAAATTACCGTGCGTTTGGTAAAAAGAACCGAACTTTTGATGAAATTTACCTAAATTGGTAATATCTTTTCAAAATTTCTGAAAAAATGCAGAGTGAGATTAATTTTACGATGCTAAAAATTTTGATAAGATTTGTTAGACTTTTTCTTTTATAGTAAAAATTCGATTGTTTATCCACCGCCGGCCAGCCAAATGCGCGACTCGACGAACGAATTTTGAAAAATCTCACGTGAAATTACAAGGGAGAAGGGGGTCGTGCCAAATCTCACATCTCACGAAGGGGGAGGGGGAGTCGAAAAATCACCACACGTAATTTATTGCCCGGCCCCTTACATACCAAAATACAACAAAAAACCCTTGATGTTGCATAAAGCAATATGAGAATGGAAAGTATTTAATGGCGGGCGGCCTCTTCCTTGAAGCCTTCCTCTTCCAAGTCAACCGTGTCATAAGCAATTGCGTACCAAATATGACAATTGAGTGGAATATCACAATAAGAGAAATAACACACTCAATTTTTTGCATTTCAAAGAAAATCTAAACTGATCGATTGTTTTTGTAATTTTCCTGAGCTATTATATACTATCTTCCAAAACCGTAATCCCCTTTCACAAGCACGGATGCTGCATATGCATGGAAATGGGAAGCACGGAGAAGTAAAATGATAGCAGAAAGGAAGCCGTCAGAAGACGCGAAAACGTGGGGCACCAGAAGCGAATACAAAGTAGGGGAGGACGGAGAATTATGAACGGAATGGAAGGTAAAATTGTGCGCGGCCCGTGGCCCATTGTTCAAGGTGCTCCTCCAGGAAGCATTCTAGTATCCACTAATCGGTGGAGTCGAAATGCGAAATGAAATTCGTCACATACTGAAAACTCTCAGATGTTAAACTGACAAGCACATTTCCGGCATCGCGCTGGGATCGAACCCGCCACCTCCCGTTCACATCCACGCTCTGCCTTGACCGGTGTTAGTGAGCGTAGTGGG